TCAATAGAGACCTTCGGTAGATCTCGAACTCGATCCTCCGCGGGCGGTGAAGAAGACAAAGAGTAATCCAAACCGGAACCAGTAGTCCGCCATATTGGAAATCGGTGTTGTTTTCGTGTGAACGCCCCCTTTTCGCGCCGTGATAGCCGCATCGGTATTTTTCGTGTCGTTAAACGATATTAAATCATTGTCATCTTATTTCGAGTACTGTAGAGTTATTAAAAGTACTCACGAAGTACTTTTTTATCGCTTTCATAGCAAAATACGCTGGAAATATGTTATTTTAGCTACTATAGAGGGCCATAACCTACCGGAGTTGATGATTTGAAGCCGGTTTGTAATGTTTTCGTAATGTTTTAATGAATTGTCACTTATTATTAGGTTAAATATATTGTGCACAGATATATCAGAGACGTAAATATTAAAACCTGGCTGAATTCTGAACTCCTACTTTGCTTTTTTCACACATTGCATTGACATAGATTTAGGGCAGCATACTCTCTGAATTGTGTCAGAAAATTGAAAGTGTAGCTCTAAATCGGTCTCTTATAAAGTTTCAAAGAAAAAAATTTTTTCCCTTTGTACAGCAGCTTAGAGTACATCTGTTGGACGTGTGAAACGTTTTGAGTACATCTGTTGGACGTGATAAACACTATCAGTAATGACTGACATTTATGTAAGTATCATCATTATGTCTTTGTATTTTTGAAGTATATGTGTTTGTGAATCATTTATTTAATTTTCCAGACTAATTCATGGATAGGGCTTCCCCATTTTGACGTTGGTTTTAAGTCCTTGGGTCCAAATGGGGGACTCAATGCATCTTTACAGGTAATCACTACATTACCGCTTATCTGTTGATTTCTTTAATCTAAATATTAAGTATGTATTTCTTTGTTTCAGCTTCTTTTACATACTCCTCGGTTTATTCTTGCTATCATGTCAGAAGTTCTGCATGACAAAACTGCTTGTGACGAAAAATTCTGTTTGTGGTGCTTGTTGAAAACACTTGTGAACGATATGAACGAGAAACAAAAAGCAGAGGCTGTGTCATTCCCTGATGGTAAGTATAAAAATGATGGTATGAAATGAAGTGCCACTATGAACAGTTACATTTAAAATGTCTACTTGTTGTCATCTGTTTGTAGGCTTTTCTACACACTTTGATGGGCTGGGTGGTGACCCTTTCCCTTACTTGCAAAAAATCTGCTGTACACTTTCCCATGAACTATGTGAAGTGTGAGTTACATTACTGCAAAGTGTTTCTGAACATAAGACGGAGGGTATAGGGTATGTGTTATTCATTGATTTGAGTATTTCTTTTCAGGAATCCTGACATGAACTTGTCATTATCTGAATTACTGCAATGTCTTCATGGCAGCCTGGAGAAAAAAAGTGAGAGAAGGTTTTGTTACACCAGATATAATGAAATTAGAAGCCCTGTTTTTATTGTATATTATTATCACCAGGGAAGTGCTCAGAGTGTGGAATGGAAACCAACAAGACATTGCTGCAAGTTGGTCTTGATGTGCTGGTTGATGACAGTGAAGTCATATCTTGCCAAGATGCTGTTCTACGTTATTTTTCCTCCAGCAGTGCTGAGGATGATTGGTGTGCGGAGTGTAATGCTAGTACGGGTCAGAATACCCTATCAAGTAGTTTTGCTTCATCCCCACACATGTTGTGCCTGAAGTTCTCTAGGTTCGTAAGTGCATATTAACTGGAGTATTCATTGCTTCCAAGTATATCATCTCCATCTCCTGTAATAGATTCACAGCCGTCGGGAGAAAAATTGGTGCAAGTGTCTCTGTAGACATGGACCTACTGTTGCCTTCCGGAGCTGAATACAAATTCGCAGGCTGCATACTTCACGAGGGTGAAAGTTCCCGTTCTGGCCGGTACATGACACTTGTGAGGTGTCCCTCTGGTTCATTCACCCTCTTAAATGATGCTATGGTAAGTTTTTCACAAGGGTCATCAGTAAAAATGTTGTGCAATATTATTTAAATGATAGTTGATGTGTAATGTTATCCCCTCCAGGTGTCACCAGTCAGACGAGAGTACCTTCTGGCTGATAAGTCAATACGTAAAAAAATCTACATAGTTATGTATGATTTGCAAGTGAATAATGCAACTGAAAAGGTAATGTATTTAAAGACTTATTAATATTCTCATGGTGTTCACTATTTCTTCACAGTAAATTTTATGTTTTTACAGCCTGTTGGAGATTTAGCTCTTAACACTTCAGTTAAGTCATTGCATGGTTCTTCATGGACAGAAACCTCATTTCCATGGGAAGTGCAGCTGGACACTTCTATTCTGTCTACCCCGTCTAAGAGGCCAGAAGCAGAATTTCCATGGGAAGTGCAGCTGGACACTTCTGATCAGACTTCTCCATCTAAGAAGGCAGAAAAAGAGTTTCCATGGGAACTGGACTTATCAATTCGTTCCACCCATTCAGAAACCTGGCTGGTTACACCACACAAAAATGTTCAAGCTGAGGTAAGCTCTGTTTTCAAGTTTTTCTCTGTTGTGCTACGGTTTGGGGATTAGGAGGTAAAAAGAACATTAGCTCAGACATTTGTGTTATCTTGAAGTTTCTTAAATATGAAGCATTTATTGTAATACAATGTAATATGTTACAGGTTATACCTAATTCGCCTGAAACCACACAGACTGTAGGAAATGAGGTAAGAAAAAATATTAACACAGTACTATTGTTAATTGATCACATGCTGCAAACTTAAACCATTCATTTACCTTTAAATTTAGGTTGATGACCAAATGGACACATTTTATGGAAGTGACACATCGTACGAGTCTATATTAGAACCAGTAAGCTATGTACTTAATTTTAGATGACAAACATTTATCAATAAGTCGCTTCCTAGTATTGCTGTAAATTTGAAATCTTTATTTCCAGGAACAACCAAAGGCTAAAAAGAAAATAGCATGCCGAGTTCTTGACCTGGATTGGACTGATCAGGTAATATGTCCTATTCAGTAAATTAATCTAATTGGATTCAGTTTTCTTGGCACTCTCATTTCCCAAAACTCAGGCACAATGACTTCCCTGTGTAACTTGGTGATTTTTACCACCAAAGCATCAAAGAAATTTTTGTCAAATGGCACAGGGACTACTAAAATGTCCTTTATAGACCACAACGCTAGATCTGCCTCTTTAAGTTTCAGGATACCGAGACTCAGCTGGATTTGACAGTAAAATTTATGGGTATCTTTAAGCCTAAATTCACCATTGGCATCAATAGTTAGACAAAATCTTTCTAATTGTTCTTTCTTTAAATGCTGTTGGAAGTCCTGAGGCCTTATCTTTTTAAGTACTGCAAGACACTTAATTTCCAATAGTACAGGTGGCATAGTATCAGAGTACACAATCCCATCTGGGCTACAACCTAGGCCAGGGTATGATGAATTTACATGTAGGCCCAGCTTTCCATCGATTTTAGCTTTTGCATCTCGGTTTTCATGCCGCCAATCCATGTAGGCATTCCTGGCAGTTGATTCCTTACTTGTGCCGTATCTCATGGCAGGTGTAATGGTTGGATCAATGTTCCACAACTGATCATAGAGGAAACCTGACAGTCCTGTTTCAGTCAAGTGGAAAGCACGATGTGCCACTGATGCTGTCACAAGCACACTCCGGCGCCCAACCCAACTATCACTTTCTCCTTGACTTTGAGTGCCGGGGATTTCAAACACAGTGTTTTCTGGCAGTGATTGATATGTGTATGAAATGAGTCCCCCCTCAGTTAGGGGTGCATTCTCAACAACAATGAGATCAGGAAGGTTCTTAAGAAATTTTCTGCATAACATAGCAAGGCGTTTCTTCCCTTTAAAATCCAACTCATAATCAGAGTATTTAAGTTCCAAGTGATACTGCCATCTTGTTTTTTCTTCATTTTTGGACAAAGCTGCAATAAAGTTATTTATATCTTCTTGGGTAGCTTCTGTCTTCCTAAAAAATGTAGGTCTTGGGTCAAAACGTTGTCTTCTCTGGACATCAATTTTATATGCAGGATACAGCTTTTCACGAATATTCCCTGGGTTTCGTTGCAAAGAGCCTTTGTTCCACTCACATGGTCTTGATGTGCATGTGACAGCTGTAAATTGCAACAATCAGTTTAAACATTGCTACCTGAAGTCTGATATAAATCTGATAACAGATAATAATATAGAATGAAAGAAAATGCTTGTACATGTAAACCTGACTCCATTCTTTTAGAATGCAAAACTTTAGCCTTCTTTACAGAATGGCAGATTTTGACCTTTGTGAACACCAAAGTTTAACATTCTTTTAAGTCGGAGGCCTATGGCTTTACAATGCAACGATTCTTTAATTATTTCTGTGCTTGCACTGTTACTCACCTACACATTACCTGTCACTACCTATATTTTGTACCACTAAACGTGTTTGTTTCTCCCTCTTCTAAAAAATGCTTTTGTCTTTACAGGAAGTGGGAGGAATAAGTTCTGGACTTCCACCCAGTGTTTCAGTTCAACGAGTTATTGTGAGATACGCAGTTTGCAAGACAATGCCAGAGAAGGATTTCAAATTCTTCACTGGATTATCACAATGCAATTTTGATGTTCTTTTTGAATTAATTGGAGGAGATTACGTAGTGGACAGACTAAAATATGAATATAATGACAAGACCCCTGAAAAAATGATGCCCTTCAAGAAGTTGTCAGCAAGAGACAGACTCTTCATGATGCTTGTGAGAATGAGGAGAGGTGTGCCTCTAAGAGACCTGGGGTATCTTTTTGGTATAAGTGAGTCTCAATGCTGTACCATCTGTAAAACAATGATTAGGACAACTTATGAATGTTTAAGTTCTTTCAAGAAAGCCATGTTTGTAAGTGCAGAGAAGCAAAAGAAGGGCATGCCTGCTCCTTTTCGACCCTTCAAAAATCTGAGGGTCATAATTGATGCTGCTGAGTTCAAAATTGAAAGACCATCAGATTTTCAGCAACAAGGCAACACGTACTCAGAGTACAAACACTACAATACTGAAAAGTACTTGATTGGTACTTCAACCAAAGGTTCAATTATTTTTTGCAGTGATGGGTTTGAAGGTCATATAAGTGATAATGAATTAGTGAAGAAAAGTGGCTTCCTAGACTATCTCACAGAAGGTGATGCTGTTATGGTTGACAGGGGATTTCATCTGGCAGCAGAGTTTGCTGAGAAAGGAGTTCGACTCATCAGACCACCAGATTTTAAGAAGAAACGGAAGTTCTTCACAGCAGGAGAAGAAATTTTTACAAGGCAGACTGCTTCTGCTAGGATTTATGTGGAACATGCCATCAAAAGTATAAAAGATTGGAGACTTATCCGCTATGTTGTGCCAATGTCCATGCATGATGTTTTACCTCAGCTAGTGTTTACTGCAGCCTTCCTTACTAATTTTGATGTTCCCTTCATCAAAGTAAAGAAAACTTCATCCCGTAGGTAAAATGTGTTTGTATTATATTGTTTGTATTGTACAAGTGCCATGATAAACTTAAGAATTGTTGAATGTTTAAAGAAAATACCTGTATTATTCTGATGACTTTTTTATTGAGCTGTAAATTGGACATCACATTGCAACTACAAAATAAAGCAATCTACAATTTGAAACATGTATTAATATTAATATTCCTGAAAAGTAAGCATAATTATAAAGCACCCACCATTCACCATTACTGCAAAAATATAATAACATGCATCTATTCATAAAATACCCAGGGTTAGTCCACACACATACTCACTTCAACTGCAGGGCTACCTGGAGTACAGAAAACTACTCTACAAAGAGAGGAGAGAATATTAAATGAGTGTACCTTTCCAACTACACACATACACATTTCTAACTTACTTGTCTCTATCGCTGAGAGGAGGGAAAAACAACTTGTCAATGGTATCAATGTGATTTAGAGGAAAGATGATGAAATTCCAATCCAGATGAACGCTGAACACAAGACAAAATGATGAACCAAAAACCATAAAATGTAAAAACAATGACTGAGCAGGAGGAAATCTAATCTAGGATGACAATCAAGACAGGGGACAATAGTTCCACCTGTATGAAGATGAAGTGTATAGGTAGACCATCCCCAGTTATGTTTTATGCAAGGATAAACCACTGTCCCAGTTATTAGGAGTAATGATTGTGAAAATAAAGATAATAGGTCAGTTTTGATAATTTTATGAAATCAAGTTCAAATCTATTGGTAATCTTTTTTAAATACTGTCAAGTGAACTACTAAGTGAAATGATTTCTAACCAACTGTGGGCTGTGAGAAGTGGGATAGTATCAATTGTAGTTCAGAATATATTGTTACTGATTAATAGGGATTAGATATGTGATATGTGAAACTAACTTACTAGATAGATATGTTCATCACCCAAAAATTACTATCCAAAACAGGGCTTTTCCCTCTGAACCATATCATATTATCAAAAAATAAATTTATAAATAGACAGAAAGAGAGATAAAAATTCAAAGGGGCACTTTCAGCAACCCCTTCTGTTGAATTATACCTGACTGGAAATATAGTATTAAGATAGGACTCCTGAATATTTTTAAATGAAAATTTGTTGCAGTAGATAATTGTGTGGCTTACATATAACTATGGGATTCCAATAACAACAGCCACAACGCATTAGTAACACTCGGTATCTAATGTGAACTTTCAATACTTGTGCCAACAATTTTTCAGTTAGAAAAATCTCAGTGGTCCTATCATGATACAGCAGAAGACTTACCATCATAGCCATTTAACTGAATATGACACCACATAAACAGCAAAGTGGCACTCACATGGCTGCATCTGCCAAGAGCTTGTTGTTTGCACGTGCAAGTGCAGATTTTCACATTACCAGACATTGTTGAGATTGCCACTTGCACATTATAAAAATCCATCCTCATGGAAGCCCTTACTTGAGCACGTACAAAATAGACAGCTCCCATTGAAGTGTTCTCAACTTTTCTTACATGGCCACTTTTCAAGAACACCATGCCTCTTCTTATTTTTTTGCAATGCTGAATAGATCCAGCGTCATCTGCAAATGGATCAACGACCTGATTGGATTCCTCGTCTGAGAAACCACTGTCCGAATCTTCTACAATCGACAATGATGGGTCACTGTAGACAGGCATGGACTCAATGAGGTAAAAATAGATGTGCCCATAGTTGAACATATTGGGGATCTGAATTGAAGGAAAAGTATCCCAGCCTGAGGTAGGGAATGTGGTAGGCTGTGATGCAACCTACAAAATGAGTTAAGTTAAAAATTAAAGAAAAGGCACTGAGTTCTCAATTTCTTATACGCACAGAAAGAAAAATATACATTCTTACTTACCAAAGTCGTTTGCTGTGTGTTTTTTTTTTGGGTGTACCACCTCCCTTCGTCTAGCTGTGGATCCACTGCTCTGTTGCCTTTTATTCTAATGACGTTTTCAACTCTTGAACATAACAAATAGAGGGAAGTGAGTAAAAAAAAAACACTTGATAGGAAGTATATAGTTATTTTGTTCATTTAAATAAATACCTTGATACTAATTGATCCTTAATGCCAAGTTTGGAAAAACCATAGCATTCCAGCCAGCGTCGCAAATCATCCATTGAGTTTTTCTTAACCTCAGCATATGGTAGGGTTGCACCGGGAACCTCATTAGGTAAGAGTACAACATCTTTGAATGACCTTCCTACTGCATGACAAACGTCTGATTCGGGGCCCAAAATGTCTTCCTCAAATGCCCTGTCAACTCCACGACAAACCTCTGTCTCGAGACCAAAAATATCTTCCTCCTTGTCACGCAGACAATTTTTCTAAGGATAATAAAAATTACTAATGTACAATTATTTGAGATCATGTCAGTGATGTAAAACTGTAAAAAACATACCTTAGATTTCTCAAGAGGTTTGGAATTAATCTCATAAATGTGAGACGATTGCTGAGAATTTTCCTACAGAAAAATAATTAGGATAAATTAGTCAGATTGTTCGATCAAATCAAAAGTTAAAAATTGCTACAGATGGTACACTTCGCAAACCTTTGGCTCTTCCCTCTTCCTTTTCTTAATTTTAATAGGAGTAATTTTGACAGGAGTGCCTTGAAAGTGATTGTGATTTACAGGTGAAGAGGGATGTGGCTCATCTGTAGGAACCTGACCTTTCACTTTTTTTGTTTGCAGGTCATAAATGTGTGACGATTGCAAAGAAGTTTCCTGGAAAAAGTTAAAATTGTTAGTTTATAGAAAATGGCATAGACAGATCTGTATAAATTAGTTCTTTCCTTAACCTTTGGTTCTTTCCTTTTCCTTCTTAAAATTTTTATAGGTGTTACTGTCCCTTTGGAACGTTTTAAGCCATCTTGGTTTAGGGCCGGGGAAGAAGGCTCATCATTAAAGAGTTGCTTCCTACTGGATTTTGCTTGAAGCTCATAAATATTTGATGATTGGAAAGATGTTTCCTAAAAGTTTCCAAAATTAGAGGACTTACAATTTTACTTAGTAGATAGGATGTTATGAATCTGTCACCTTTGGGCCTTGCCTATGCCTCCTCTTGATTTTTAATGGTGTTACTTTGTTGGGAGTGCTTGTAGCCAAAGGCTCATTCCTCACCAAAAGCGAACCCAAGGACTGTGGCAATTTTGACTGTGGTAAAACAAAGAACAAAAATATGTATAACAGCTGATCACATTTAAATGTCTAACTACTGGAACGCATAAATGTGTTCAAATAGAAATGATAATAATAGTACCTCAACAGGATTTCTCTTATAAAAAATCAAATATCCATTCCTTGACATAAGAGATAGTGGTGCACACAACGTTTTGGAAACCTGTAAGAAGAAACAGACATTTGAATTCTCCATGAGTGTGAGAAAAATTATTGTGAATCTTAATGCATTCAACTAACATTATGGTCATTAAATTGTACAAAAGAGCCATCTGGGCATCTAGTGATGCAGATGTAATGGCCGTTTTTCCTGGAAGGCCCTAAGTGAGCCACACAACTGACAAACGTAAAAGAGGCCTCATTGATGACAATGTCCATGTCTATGGTGACACAATCATCACATTTCTCATCAGTGGAGGAGTCAAATCTAAAATCAGAAACTGTATTAGCATCAGGAAGAGTCAAATATTACATTGGAAATGGCCACATAATAGAGAGTAATAATTATTATTATTTAAGCTACCTTTTTAGTTGTAAAATGAGAACCTCTGGTTCATGCAATATATCTATTTTTCTGGAGTAACTATTTATGCTGTCACATGATGGACACTTGAAATCATTTACTTCCTCTGTGTTCGTGAACTTTCTCAATGCTTCTTGGACACTGGTGCACAACGGTAAGTTAAGATGATCGACCAATTCATATACTTTAGTGCTCCGGGTACATTTGCAAAAACCTATAGATGTAAAAATAATTTTTAATGCTAGCTGCTGTAGTAAGAAACCTGATTTTGTTAAAATTTGACATCATCTACCTGAAGTTTGTAACCATCCAGCAAATACAGTACCCAGAGGGTATTTGTGTATGTCAACTTCCTCAACACTAAAAAAAGTGATAAAATCAAAACAATTATTCAAGACTCACAATTCTTGATTGACAAAAAACATTAGTGAGTCACTTGCCTCAATTTTGTTTCTCTGCAGAAATCATGTCTGACCTGCTCAAGTAGTTTCAACAGGAACTCATGAGCATCTTGCTGAACATTAATGTTGAAACCAGGCCAAACAACTGCAACAGGACATGATATGTTATGTTAATTTTATTACTTGTTCTTTTACAAGCCCACTTCACCTTCTTGGTGGTAGGAAGAACGAGTATTGTTCTCAGAGCGGTGTCACCCTTTTACTATTTGTACTTTCATCTCAGAACACTTCTTTTCATTGTAAAAAATTTGGAATTGCTTTAAATTACCTCTCAATAATGCCACAAACGAAGCAGGTCGGAATGGGCCAGAGCTTGAACACATTTCATTTACAGTCCTTTTTAGTGAGCAGCTGACACAGAGGAGAGAGTGACACCTATGGCTTGCTGGGTCACTTGCCCATTCAAAAAAATGTGGGATGTGCAGTAAGGCCTGAAAAAGAAATGACATACAAAGCAGAGGTGAGTACCATTACCACTTCAATATCACTTTAATACTTACTTGAATGGTAGCATTCAAATAACAGGTGTTATTTAAATTACACAGGCCCACATAACATTGTGCAAGAGCTTCACCTTGAAATACAGAAGTAACTTTGGAGGGAGCCTGGTAATCACACAGTAAAAATTAGGAAAGATAATAGGAAAGATATTTAAAAGAGCAACAAATAGCAAAAATGAAAGTGACCTGTTGATCAAATGCTCACCTGGTGCACTATGTCTACACTATTATTGTTTTTCTTACTCATGGTGTCAGTCATCTCCAAACTGATGTCGTTAAAGCTGTTACACAAAGGAAACTACAAATTTACGTAAACAGTAATTGGGGGAACCCCCTTTTCATTTTAAACAAACATCGATTAACAGACCACTTCCAAGAGCCAGGTACACTTTCAATTTTCTGACACGCTGCCCTAAATCTATGTCAATGCAATGTGTGAAAAAAGCAAAGTAGGAGTTCAGAATTCAGCCAGGTTTTAATATTCACGTCTCTGATATATCTGTGCACAATATATTTAACCTAATAATAAGTGACAATTCATTAAAACATTACGAAAACATTACAAACCGGCTTCAAATCATCAACTCCGGTAGGTTATGGCCCTCTATAGTAGCTAAAATAACATATTTCCAGCGTATTTTGCTATGAAAGCGATAAAAAAGTACTTCGTGAGTACTTTTAATAACTCTACAGTACTCGAAATAAGATGACAATGATTTAATATCGTTTAACGACACGAAAAATACCGATGCGGCTATCACGGCGCGAAAAGGGGGCGTTCACACGAAAACAACACCGATTTCCAATATGGCGGACTACTGGTTCCGGTTTGGATTACTCTTTGTCTTCTTCACCGCCCGCGGAGGATCGAGTTCGAGATCTACCGAAGGTCTCTATTTTTAAATGGTATATAATTTTGTCTCAAAATTCTCAAATAGGTTTTTACAAAGTTGGAGGACACAATTTCAACGTAATATTTGGTCTGCAAATGCAATCACGAATATAATTGCCAGCCGGAAAACACTCCAAAAATCATACGCGAAATATTTACAGTATAGGAAACAAATTGGTCACCTTGACAATTCAATCAAGTTTAATATGCTTCCTTCCGAACCTTGCCTCACACATCTCTGACTGACTACTGGCTCGCTCGCATTTTTAATACTGTTGTGTCGGTCTCACTCGTTCCGTCTACAAGGTCAAGGGCCACACTATTTCGGCCATTATTTCGGTCCCACTACTACTACTACAACGTCCGCGCCGAGTGAGCGCGCCGCGCCGGCCACACCGGTGCGCACGCACTTGACCCGCCAGGGCGGGGCGGGGCGGGGCGGGGCGCGACGGACAGGACGCGGGTCGCGCGCGCCCGGCCCGCTCGAGCAGCACACAGCGGTGCAGTGCGACGTGGAGCGGCTGGCAAACATGTCACGTCGCCCCACCGAGTCCTTGCAGTGACTCTGCCGTCGCCTCGCCTAGTCACACAAGAGGGCTGGAGAAGACGTGCGCTCCACGCGAACTATTAAAAAATAAAATCGCACCAAAACGCCAAAATAATTACAATAATGTCGCGAAAACCTTCACTGATAAATAAAGTGTGCGACTGGCGTGAACGTGCAACGGCTCAACAGTACATCTAATAAGGCACAGCACAGATTAATGAAGTATTCTTGCTTGTCCACACGCATCCTCCACCTCTACCTGCCTGCCTCCTGCCGCCCGGCTCGGCCGGGGAGAGCGCCGTGCAGATAGGCAGCCTGTGGGCACGCGTGCTCAACGGGACGGTATCCAGCGCCTGCCGCCCGATACAGGCTACACAGGCCGATGGCTCGTGCTCGTATGCATGTCCGTCAGACCTTCGGGTTTTGCAACATTTACTCATTTTTCGCAGGTTCGCCTAATACGATATTATTTCTTCTTCCCGCTAGCGCTAGAACCCCCGAGCCCACATAAACAATTGTCACTATGATAGCCCAACCTCGGCATCAGAACCCTAGCTAGCTTAGGTTGAAGGAGAACTGCTAGAATTGCATTCGGAGCACTAGAGGGTCATCTCGCTCAAGTCGGGCGCTGATCTCGGGCACCAGGATGGGAGGGAGGGGAGGGGGCTGAGCTGACACACTTTTCACGCACTCTGGACGTCGCTGGGTGGGGCGGGGTGGGGCGGGCGGCGGATGCACTTCGCCTGCACTGAGCACGCCGTGGCTGTCGGTCGAGCGTCCTCAGGGCCGTCCGGCGTGGACCGCCTGCCTCTGCGCCTCGGTGCATCAGAGAGGCAGCGCTGTGCTGGAGGAGGCGCCCAAGGGCTAGAGTCTGTTCTACGACATCTCACGTCTGAAACCTTACCGCGTGTTATTTGTGTACTTCGAGTATACCGTGGTCGAGTTTTACGCGACCGCCTCTCATTTCTACTTTTGTGAGATCCGTTTTTGAATATTTTTATTGTTTTTCCTGCTCCAGACGTTAGCGTCCTCGCTTCCTGTTGCTGCACCGGGGTGTCATCACGCGTCCAGCGCACGTTTGTACTCCAGGGTAAAAGTATCGCGGGATCCCTACGGGCCCCAATAGTAGTCCTGAACCTCAGGGTTCAAGGCGTAGCCTGTACTGTTCATCGCGGCTCTGGTCTGGATGGTGCAGCAACAACAGCAACAGCACACACACGCTGCAACGGCGGCAAGCCACTGCAGTACAGACCGACGAGTCGGCGAGTCACTGAGCCTTTGAGTTTTGTCGAGTCAAGGCGATCCAAGGTGAGCTTGGGCTTGGCAGAGCACAACCTACCCCACACCTCGCTGCCTCTACTCGGCCGCCTCGGCCGCGCCAACGGAGCCACTATCTCACTGACCCCGCACGTCTGCGCTGCGGCCAGTTAGTTTCTCCTCTCGCCTGCCTCTCTCTCTCTCTCTCTTCATGTTTGTGCGAGGTTAGTATAGTGAAGGAGCTCTGGTTGATAAGTCTACTGCCCCCGTAGCACGACGACCTTTCTCAGAGAAAAAGGAAAGCGCTAACTCAAATCTACAACAAATTTGTTAAGACCCCGTAAGAAAGCTTCGAATTTTCATGCCGTTGGACCGACACCAGAACGAGAAACGGGTTGGAAAAGAGGTCTATATTACCGAAGACATTCGGGTTAAAGAATAAAAGAACATAATTATTTTTCAAGGAAAAAATTTATTGTTATCTTGCAGTCTTGGCTTAAACAGATTTTGTACCAAAAATAAAAACGAGAACATGAAACATACTTGCATGAAACATTAGATGTCATCTAGGCTAAAAATAAATTATCTTCACAGCAAGAGGGCATTTTAATACAGAGTACATGGAGGTTTTAAAATAACACATAAAACTAGATACCTACCAAAAAGTCTCCATAGGAAAAACAGTATGCAGATTTTTCTTAACAACCAGCTGTTTATATTTTATGAATTTGTTTGACACAGTCATTAAAAAGAAGTATATTAGTACCTTAAAAACCTTATTAAAAATTTAAAATGTTACCTGCGTTCTACAATATGATATGCACATTTGGAAACTTAACTACAGAAGTCTTTTTTTGTACCAGAGGGTAGGGGATTTGGTGTCAGTGACCAACTGGACCCAAATTTTTAGTCTTTCCTTCACCGTGATGCCAACTTCTCTACCCTTTGGTCTAAAAAAAACCAGCACACAAACCCCAATGATCATTATGATCAAACATACAGCTAGTTTGATAGCTACGTCACAGCACACTTTTAAAACAGGTAACTCTTTCCTTAAGCCTATGTTATGACAATGCTTTCAAAATATTTAGAAGGCTAGCAGTACTCTCCTTAAAATTACAGATTCTTGACAAAAAAAAAACTGTACAGTTTTAACTGTTTGTATTGTATACCTGTACAATAAAACTGTCTCTTCTTTGTTGTTGATTTTAATTTGGACTCTGAAGGAAAACAGTAATGCACTTTGAAGCTTTGGTATAGTATAGCTTACAACTCGGAATATGGTTCTACTTAAAAGTCCTCTATTGCAGTATCTTGACTAGAGAGAATTGCAAACAATTGAGATAAAACTGTGTATGTATTAACAAGTTTTCTAAAAATTTTGCATATGGGTCCTCAAAAGCACCTAAAACTATATAAGAGAGCGTTTCCCTTGCTTCCACTTCCACTTATGTAGGAATACATAGGAACAATAAAATTAAACAATTCATTATGTACAAAAGGCAATCCAAACTTAGTTAGATGGAAATGAAGCTGCTTATTGAAAATCAATAAAAGTCAAAATATCTACAGGCGGACAAGGAACATAGAATACCTGCATGCCAATGTAACCATTCATAAGGAAACTAAGTAGGTTCAAAAGACTAATGGTTAAGACAACAATGCAATAACATCACAATATATTTTAAGAAGTAACACCAATAGTGCAATTATAAATAAGTCTATTGTTAGCCCAGTAAATGAATTCAAAAATCACAACAAAACCAACTTCTAATCACATCAGAAAAATTGTAACACGCTAAGTTAGTCACTTAAAAAAAAAAGTCAAAAAACATATGAAATTTTCTGTACGTTGCCTTTCAGTTGGAGATCATAATTAACCTCTTGCGGGTGAAGAGAGAGAGTGTGTATGACAGGTGTCCATGTCAGGCAATGCTAGTTTTTTACAAGGGTTTCCATTTAGAGTAAATCTCTGACAGTAGTTTCTTCCTGACCTGGATGGTGTGAAACTGGAAACGAAAGTCCAAAATAAGTAAGCTGCTTGGTTGATTAGATTACATTAAGTTTTTGCCATATTTTTTACCTTCTAGAACTGCGACTACTTGCAGGTGAATCGGAGCGCAATACTGATGTGTTATACAATCTTGCCTGTGGCAGTAATCTTCGAGACTGGAGAATAAATAATAAATGATTGTAAAAGAGGGAGTATAAACTAAAGAATTAAAAAGAGAAAACTACTTACAGATAAACGTATTTCTTGTTCCACAGAGCCCTCATTGTCACTGTTATCTCCTTCATCTACCTCGTCATTGCTGATAATTGACACATTAACAGGTGTTCTCTCTTCTTTCCGCCTTCCGATTAAATTTTGCAGCACTGATGAAAGTTTTGCTGAAGTCTCAGATATTTTATCTGAAATTGGAAATTAACAAGCATGAAAATAAAGATACTATTTAATTAACATGAGCAACAGCATTGTGTTAAGTGATTTTCAACAACTCTCGATTACGTAAAAGAAAAAGTTACTTTTGGAAATATTGTAAGTAGAAGATAGCTGCAGCAAGCAGGAATCAACAAAGCCAAGATTATTGCTGGCTTCAGTGGCGCCTTGGGTAGGGACCTGACCGTTCAGACTAGTACCATTCTGAAGAGGAGCATAACTAACAGGTGCGAGCCTTGAGAAATTGCCTTGGGCAATGAACCACTCATGAATAGAGCTTAAGAGCCAGTTAACTGCAAACACAAAAATTGAAAACTGTAGGTATTGTAATGATAAATTTAAGTTTACATGGTGAAGACCAATTTTTAAAAACATACCTCCACTAAACAATATTAAAAGAAGAGTGAGGCCAGAGAAATCAAGAGCTCCATCAGCTCCCTCATATGATGTTAAGGCCAGATTCAGAGGCACTAGAAGAATGAGAGCACAACGAACTGCAGATGGGGCTTGGATGAAAGATGTTGCAATCATTCCAAGAACAAGGAAGAGACCGTGAGCAACACATTGCTGCATCCACTCTAATTGGTCGCCTGAACAAAAGAGCAAGAGATAAAATGTTATAACTAGGAAATCTTGAACGCAAATAGATTAATGTTTGAGCAGTAAAAGTGTTTCATACATACCTGATTCAGTAATAAACTTGATGATCCAGCCAAGCCTTTCGTCAATCTCAGAGCGAGTTCTTTCTACAGTTTTTAAGAGGTACTCAATTGAGGAATTAATTTTAGCCATGTTATTGAGCATTTTCTCCAAATCATCAGCAGCCTCTGCATGCTGACTTAAGATTTGCTTGGTGCTGTGATCAACATGATCCCAAATTTCAAATGCTTTGCGCTGAAGATTTTCCAAATCAGCTAAAACTTGCAAGTGATTTTGTTGATGCTCAGAGGCATGATTAGACAGTTGAAGACTTGCATCATCTAATTAGGAAAAAAATGTCCAAAAACAATTAATTTTGTGTAATTTTTAATTCTCCGGTGTTACTAATATATATTGTATAGGCCTGAAGATAATACTTTTAAGAACCCAAATTTAGGAAAAAATTGTTCACAATTCTTGTTCCATACAAAACAAACTCATGTTTAGGGAAATGAAGTTACATATGTGACCATGAACTATTTGTTGATGGTGAGGTTGCATAAGTGTGTGTAAGGCAGCACAGTTCAGAAAGCTTCGGCACTATTAATCGAATATTGTGGTAATTTATCTAATGTACATCCCTGTTTAGCAAAGGGGTGGCTGGTGGGACCTCCCGTACAGCCGCCCATCCACCACCACCACTTTAGAAACAAATTTTGGGGGAAAAGGAGATCTTATATTCAGGCCGGTACGGTACATCAGAACATATAGATAAAAGTATTGAATACTCACCAAGTTTGGCTTTAACTTCTTTCGTCATCAAAGATAGTTCTCTCTGTCCTGCAGCTATGAGTGCTTTTTCTCTTGTCAACTCTCGTAAGTTGAGGGCAACAAAGTCATGGACACTTTGCTGTGTTGATCGAAGCTTTTCTTGTTCAGCTAATAATGTTTGATGACCCTTTGAAACTGATTCCAAAGTGCCACTAGTAAGAGATTCAAGTTTTGTTTGACCATCCTATTAGGGGAAGAAAAATAGATAAAAATTGACAGAACAGACAATTTTGGTACAAAACTAAGAATATCTTAATTATGATTTGAATAATTGTACTCCCTAATAAACATACTCTCAATAAATCCATTGTCTGTAACTGCTCATTTGCTGTTCTCATGAGCCTGTTGACTGTCATTTCAGAAAGGGCGCGGAATTGCTGGTGACGTGCAGCATAACAAACTGCTCTAGCTCGATTATTCATCAAATGGTATGTGTTCCACATATCAGAATCCATTTTATTGGTGCAATCACGCAGTGACTGTTCACAAGAAAATAAAATATATTAGTATTAAGAAATTATAATGTAACCATTTGAACATTATACAGCATCATCATACCATCTTCTCAGTGCAAGGAAACTGTTGTCGGCCCTCAACTGCTGACTGGCAGTTCAAGAGATTGACACTTAACTTTGCTAACTCTTCCTCTGATATAGAGGCACAAGATGACTGAATCTTCATTACAACCTACATGTACAAGCACCGATTCATTAAAACAGTGAATGCTAAGGAAACTAGACAGTTCCATACTACATATTGAAATAAAAAAAACCAAAAATACCTTATGTTGGCATGTGTCCAACTGTGATGTTTTTAAACCAACTAGTTTTTCAGCTTCTCTTAAAAATTTGTCCTCTGGTGATGCCTCCTCAAAGGGGACTTTTAGAAGAGGAGTGCCATCCTGGACAGTAACTTCATTCCCAGTGGTGTCTGACCCGCTGCTTATACCCATCCATTCAAGGAGTGATGAACCGACCACAGGTCGGCATGAGCATAGTGCAACAAGTACTATCACGGAAAATGTTCCTACATGGAGTCCTTGGACAGACATATTGATGCTGAAAGTAAGAAGAACACATGGTTAACTGTGGCAGAAAGTATACATATCAAAAACAAATCAACCAAATAGGATAAAAAATTATTGAGCTCATAACATAAATGAATGAGAGCGGCATGAATAACCCGTCATTGAATTTGATCCACCTTCAGTTGCACAGCACTGAAATGACAGTAAATGAAAGTGACATTGTGTTAGTTCTATAAGAATGAAACTATTAGTGGTTTTCATTTCATGTTATTTCATATTTGCCAAAAGTCAAGCCAAGGCCACAACAAGGTGGATTCAGGGATTCAGTAATGCCCAAGATGTTACAAACAAAACTGAATGAAATGAGGTATTCTGAGAAAGTCTCTACATTCAATCAGGCTGACTGAATTTCAGGAGTAGAGCAATGTTATGACCAAGATCATAATCATAATTGAGGAAACACACATCAAAATAAAGTAGGAACAATAAAGCACACAGCCATAACTTTCAAAACGGTTCAAAACTGATGGGTTGTCGTGCTCCTCACGACGGCCGAGCAGAACTCTCCAAAGAAACACGGAGAGACATGCTGCAACTTACGGAAAGCAAAGTTCCAAAAGGATAATGTTCACAAGTATTGTCTCAATTGTAGAAGGGGTCCAAATAAAACCGTTGACTGGTTTAAAACATGTTTGGACTCGCTCGCTACTGTTCTTGTTCTTGTTGTTGTCTTTATCCTTGTTGTTTTTGTTCTTGTTTCTTTTTCATCTTCGCGCCTGAACCGGAAAGTCCAAAATAACACTAGAAGAATTTATCACCAAGCAAAGTTGTGATTCAAGATCAAATTTGCCACACAAACTTTGAACGAAGGCGTACCTTTACGATTTTTTCCTGATGAATATGGAAGCCTTTACTCTCAATACTGCGATCAACAATTATGCCCTATGAATATGTCATACTTTTGTTATTCTGTCACCTGCAACTTCTGCTAGGTCGCACATAGCGGTCGAAACATTGAATGTTCGCAGTAAGAAAAAAATTTAAAAGGAAATAAGAGGGAATTATGTCTGTATCTATCTCTATTTTCATTGAGTGTGTTCTTTCTTCTATTTTTCAATGAATATCCCGTTTAAAAAGGCAATGTAATCGATCGGCACACCTGCGTAACTCTAATCTCAGGTTTAGAAAATAACCTCAGTCTGTACATGTGCAGGTAAACAACAAAACTATTTTTTTTATCTTGTTTGATCGTTAAATTAATTGTTGTAACCCTTTATTACAATTTTGAATTCATTTCCTGACTTGTTATGTGCAGTCATGGGACTGTCATCTGTTCCAATGTATTTTCTTTTTTCTTTAGGGGGTGGTTAAACCTCTCTCTTGAACCCTCTCAATTTCTCAATTTTCAGGAGAATTGGTAAAACTTTGCAATTTTAATCACTATTTCGATTAACAATGCTTGGAAGACCAACACACCAAGCTTTCAAGCGCACGTCTGGTGTCAAATTTCCACTAAAAGGCTTCTCCCCCGTGCGCAATGTTTCAAATAGTTCAGTCTTGAAAACTGTAAGCAGCAGCCTCAGTGATAGTGTTATTAATAATGTGGCTGACGACAAACGCCCTCTACCAAGGGAGGCGAAAGTTGTCATATGTGGCGCTGGTGTCATGGGAGCATCAGTTGCATATCATCTTGCCGAGTTAGGATGGGGTTCAAATACTGTGCTTCTTGATCAGGGCAAGTAAGTACCAAAGTAATTCAATTTCCTCCATTTACTTCAACATGCTTTTAAGTAAGAGGCTTTTCTTTTCTAGTATTGGAGGAGGTGCTACTGGCCATACTGCTGGTTTAGTTGGAGTTTTTAAGCCAAGCTTGGCCCAAGTTCGACTGGTACAATCTACTGTTGCTCTTTATAAATCCCTTGAAGAAAGAGGACTACCAACTGGATGGAAACAATGTGGAAGCTTGTGTCTAGCAAAAACCAGAGATCGTATGACCGTTTTCAGACGTATGAAGGCCCTTGCAGTGTAAGCACAATTTTCTCACCAACATTTGTTTTATCTGCTTGTCTTTTCCATTGTGAAGTAGTAACAATTAATTTTCTCATTGTTTTACCTATCTTTTAACTTGTATTAGATCTTGGGGCATTGATTGCAAACTAGTATCACCTGAGGAAGTATTGCAGCTCTGCCCTCTAGTTCGCACTGATGATTTAAAAGGTGGAATATGGATTCCAGGTGATGGGGTAGGGGACCCTATTCAAATATGTCAGTCCCTGGTTAAAGTAGCTCAAGATGGAGGTAATTTTGTCCAATTCCCCAGTAGTGTTTCAAAATCACGTGTTTTCCTTCTATAATTTATCATATTATATTTATTTTTAAAGGTGTTCATGTACTTGAGGGGTGCTCTGTAAAACGAGTTGTGAGTAGTGATGGAAGGATAGTAGCTGTTGACACTTCTCATGGAACTGTTGAATGTCAGTATTTTGTGAATTGTGGTGGATTTTGGGCTCGGCAAATAGGACAAATGAGTGAACCTTTTGTGAAAGTGCCCCTTCATCCTTGTGACCATTATTACCTACATACTCGCCCTATTCCTGGGTTGGATCCTATGACGCCTGGTTAGTTTATGTAACAGTTCAATTTGAAATGTTTTGGTATGGAATTATTGTATTGAACTATTATTATTTTCATTTTTTAGTTGTTCGAGATCAAGACAGTCATATATATTTCCGTGAGAATGATGGATGTTTGATGCTTGGTGGGTTCGAACCTGTAGCAAAGCCAGCCTTTGAAGATGGACTCTTACCAGGTAAAGCATCTTCTTCTTTGAATATACACATGGAAGTATTAGAAGCAATTAATAGTTCCCCTCTTTACTTCTTTTTCTTCTTTGTTTTGTTTTTTTAACAGAGGCATCATCTGCTTCAAGAAAGTTACCTGAAGATTGGGATCATTTTCATGTCCTATTGGAGCAAATGCTTCATCGAGTTCCTACTCTTGGCTCAACAGCTCTAGACCGCCTGGTTAATGGACCAGAAGCATTTTCCCCTGATTGCAAATGGATATTAGGAGAAGCACCAGAAGTAGGGAATACCTTTTTATCTTTTAGCTTTTTTTATTTTTAATATTCTTGAAAGAAAAGACTAAATTTTGGGGGGAAAATACTTTTTATGTGGCTTACTTGATAACTTCTTTTCTTTTTGTAGATTGAAAATTACTTTGTGGCTGCCGGAATGAAAACAGTTGGTATATCAGCTGCAGGTGGAGTTGGTCATTCCACAGCAAATTGGATTGTGAATGGCTTTTCTTCTTATGAAATGTATGAATTAGATATCACAAGATTTCTTGGCCTACACAATAACCGAAAATTTCTGCGTGATCGTGTGAGAGAAGTACCAGGTGGGTTTATACCTTGCAAAGATAACAAAATAAGTCTTCTTTTGAATTTCTTTTTTTAATTTTCCCAAACTAATATTTGTGATTGATTTGTTTGTCACAGGTTTACATTACGCTATTAATTACCCATTTTCTGAGTTTTCCACTGGCCGCAACCTTAGGATGTCTCCTATTTATCCTAAGCTCAGAGAGGCTGGTGCAGTATTTGGTCAAGTTATGGGATATGAGAGACCTGTTTATTTTGATCCAGGTTTGTTGCATGCCTGGAGTCATATTTTAATACCTCCTTCTTTCTCATCCCGGGTTTTTGCGATAATTTTTTGATGAATAATATTCTGTTCTATATTTCTCTGTTTAGAGGGCTTGTTGGCAAATATAACACCTGAACCAGGCTCAGAAAAACCTTTTCGTATAGCTGAGACAAAGACTTTTGGAAAGCCGGATTGGTTTGACATCGTCAGTGAAGAGTATGCAGCTTGCAGAGAAAGCGTTGGTCTCTGTGACTATTCTTCATTCACTAAAATTGATCTTTGGGTAAGCCTTTTGGTAACAGACCCTCATAAATTTTGTGCATTTTACTTTTCTCATACCTACAAAAATTATTACAGTCTAAAGGAAATGAAGTGGTTGAATCACTACAACATCTTTGCTCCAATGATGTTGACGTTCCAATTGGGAGTATTATCCATACTGGAATGCAAAACTCTAGAGGAGGTTATGAAAATGATTGTAGTCTTGCAAGACTTGCTGAAAATCAGTAAGTTAATTAATTCGTTCTTTACAGTGTGACATAACTTTTGGTTGTAGACATTTGCACTTTTTCATGTTCATGTCCTATCTTTTTGTGACCAGTTTGGTTTTCAACACTGTAAAGTACAGTAGATTATTAAGAACTAATTCTCTTTCAGCTATATGATGATTGCTCCTACAATCCAGCAAACACGTTGCAAAGTGTGGATTCAGCGTCATTTGCCTACTGATGGATCTGTAGCATTATCTGATGTCACATCCATGTACACAGCTATATGTGTTATGGGACCATTCACTCGCAGTCTTTTGTCAGAACTCACAGACACTGATTTAAGTCCACAATCGTTTCCATTTTTCACTTTTAAGGTGAGTTGAAAGTCATAAAGTCAGCATATTATTTTCCATCATGTCAAGATAGATGCATTTTCTTTTTTGTCCTCTTATTTGCAGGAGTTGGATGTTGGCTTAGCTAATGGCATAAGGGCGATGAATTTAACTCACACAGGTGAACTAGGATATGTTCTTTATATACCAAATGAGGTACATACAAATATGATATATATACATATATGCAAGGAAATAATTTTGTATGGAAACTTATGGAAATTGATTTGTCAAATAATGTCTCCCTTTTTTGCAGTTTGCTCTTCATGTATACACTCGCCTAAAAGAGGTTGGAGAAAGATACGATTTACGACACACAGGGTATTATGCAATGCGAGCTTTACGTGTTGAAAAGTTTTTCGCATTCTGGGGCCAAGACTTGGATACAACTACTACACCTTTGGAATGTGGTAGATCATGGCGTGTGAAATTTGAGGTAAATAATGTTTAAAAATTAGTTCCAGAATATTATTGTTGCATTACACATATCACATCATTATTAAAAATGAATATTTTTTATCTTCTCAATATCTGATTCAATTAATAGAAAGGAACCAACTTCATTGGTCGAGAGGCTTTGCTGCAGCAGCGTGATGAAGGTGTCAAAAGAATGTATGTGCAACTAATACTTCAGGATCATGATCCTGATGTTGACTTGTGGTGTTGGGGAGGGGAACCAATCTACCGTGATGGAATTTATGTTGGTGCAACTACTACGACAGGTTACGGTTATACATTTAAAAAGCAGGTATGTTACTTCACCGCAAGGAGAAACTCTGCTATCTTGTCTGTCTGTTGTACATCAGATCACTTAACTACGTATTAAAATTTTATATTATTAGTAGTGTTAAAAAATGTTGTGTTGCTTTATTTGTAGGTCTGCCTTGGATTCATTCAAAATTTTGATGAAAGTGGAGAACCTCAGAAAGTTACATCAGATTTTGTTCAATCAGGCAGTTATGAAGTGGATATAGGTGGTATTCGCTATTTAGCCAAGGTAAAGGGCATCATATAAGGGTAAATAATAAATGGTTTAAAAAAAAAATTATCTAATATTTTTGTATCTTGTTTTAGGTCAACTTAAGATCACCGAACCTACCTACTAAGTTCCCAGATAAAGAACGGGAGGCCTATCAGGCAACAAGAGACAAAGTTGGAGTCAGTGAACCCATTCTCAAAGCTGTGAATTCATGACGTGATCATTACCTTATGTATTAGTCTGAAATGCCTGTGATTTAATATGTGCTCTTTTTTTCTCTTTTTTGTGTCTTTAGACTCTTGTCATACTATATGTGTTTGTAATTTTTGGAACGAACTATGCTACCTTTCCTTTTAAAAGCTTTGTTCTGAAATTTGTCCAAGTTGCTCTAATCTTTATTCTTTTAACATCTATGTGTTTTAAAAATTATTTCTATATGATTTTGTATTTTTGAATTTATTGCTGTCATATAAGATACAAAAACACAAAGCGGAGTTTTGGGGTTGTTAATGTTAAAAAAGGTTGATGCAAAAATGCATTCTCGTTGTCTCAAGTCCATTGGTAAGTTGTAGTGCTTCTAATTTGCTATATAAAAACACATTAATCATTTTATGAAATAAATTTGATCTTCCATGATTTGGTCTGAAATGATGTTGATGTGCAGTTGCCATAATAGGTTGTGAAGTTGGCCTTTGCTCTATAAGAACGTGAAGCTATAAATTATCACGCAATAAGCCTAAGATTTTCTACAGTGTAAACATTTTGTTAAAATTAATTTGTTAATCTTATACTTATGCATGTGACGATTCATGCTGGGATGTCAATTCGTAATGTACCATCTGCAAGACTTTCTCACCTATAAATTCTTTCAATACTAGTAGAAGGATTTATATAACAATGACTGATTTCAAAATGTGTTGAAAAGTTCAGTTATGTACCGTCTTCTCTTGCTTGTGTCAGACTGATGTTTTAGTAGAATTTGTAGTTCTATTTCACATGATTTTTAGGAACCTTTTGAGAGATTTTTTTGTTCATTGATAATTTTCAATTGACAGTCTTTTAAAACAGCAAGGTACTGTTAATAATTTGATATTCAAGACATTAAATTAGATTCTCTAATTAGTATTGAAAAATCTGTGATAACTTTCAACAATAATAGGCTAATCCTGTATGTTTCCCAAAATATTTTGACAGTAGCCAATCAACTTTGCACAAAAATATTAATAGATTAGTGGATTTAACCATCAGCATTTATGATTTATGCACTACTTCATTTAGGAGAATCTCTGCCTGTGACTTCTGAAGGTGTTATCTGGCTTTATGCCCTGTGCCATGCTGCAATGCGCATCGCCAAAATTTTTGCTGCTGTGCATGCTTGTAGCTTCTATACATTAAGTGAAATCCATATTAATAAAGGGAAATATTTAAACATTTCTAATCGGGAGTATTTCAAAGAAAACAAACTGTGTTGCGCCATTTAAACAAACGCTCTCGTGTCTTGCCAGTTGGTTTTACTTCTAATAAATTTAAAACTATTACCACTTTTCTGAGTCCGTTTTACTCACAACCCGAGGCCGTCGTCCACCCATCATACTCACACAGGTCTCGCGAGAGCCGAGCGCCCAACGAGAGAAGGGTAGGCCGGCCCGCACTACACGCGTGCTCACCCGGGTACGAGATGCCTACCTCCCAGGCTGACAGTGTCAATGGCCCCCGCGAGCCGGCGGGTGGCTTTACACGGCTTTCGACGAGATTAAACGAGTGAGAAGAAAGGACGCTTCTTCACGCTGCGATACCTCGTAGGACGAGTATCGAGGTGAGCCGTTTATGGGTTAGCAGAAAAGAGAGCCACGGGGGTAGGGTGGGCCTTCACCAAACTTTGGTCTCGAGGTGCTACGGGGTTCCACACCTCAGGTTTGACCCAAACGGTGGAGCATTTAAAAGGCAATTCTCTGACCTTTGAAATTCATCACCGGTGGAGATAGTCAATAAAACAATTCCAACCGAATAAATATAAAAATAGCAATGTGACAAAACTATACTCTAGCCCATACCAACTAGTTTACCCCTCAAGCAGTGCGGTCCTATTCTCCGGGGAGAAGCATGGAGTTGAATCATTGGCGTCAGCCAGGGCCGCACACGGTGAAAAAATTGGTCCTTGATACATATTATCCAAGGACCAAGACACCGATTCAAAGATGGGGATATGGAAAAACAACTGGGGCGTCCTTGAATCGGTGTCTTGGTCCTTAAACATCAAGGAGCTGTTTCTACCGTGCAGGAAAAATCGTTCAACACCGTCATCAGACTGCTCCCCTTTGCGCCGACGCTTACACACTTCACACATGCATTCACTCACGCATGGGATGGAGCCACTGGCCGGCAGATCTCGGGCTTTGGCCGCGCTTCGGCACCCGCTTCAGTCAGTCACCGCTCGACTCCCGCGCACCGCGGAGCGTCGGAGCGTTCCTGCCAGCCAGCGTCTCGCGGTAAAGTGGTGTTTCATTGTGCAGTGCAATTAGAGTGAAACCTTTGCAGAGTGAGGAGCGAAGTCCTTCCCTCCGAGAATAAGTACACATCTTTCATGGTCGTGGTTCGGTCGCCGGTGTGGGTCAGCTGAAGAGGGGCTCGACATGGTCGCCAATGACGTCTGCGGCACCGTGTCCGTCGGCGACACCACTCTGGTCCAGGAGGACGCCCACACCCAAGTAGTGGCCACCCCGGGGAACACCCGTGCCGTCCGGGATGTTGTTGTCAGCTCGAGAGGGTCACTCGACAGCGGCCTGGCTATCGCCCGATACGACGATGATGAGAATGACGCCTCGAGCGACTCTGCGTCTTCTGGGGGCAGTGTCGCCCCGTGGTCGTCGGAGGGCAGCAGCGGCAGTGAGATGGTGGTCGCGGACATCACCATCACGGATGGTAGCGCCAACATCGGCATCTTCAAGAACTACGTAAATGTATTCATGTGCGAAGGGAAGGGCGAGCAGCTGACGGGCTTCCCCGGGGCTGAGGGCCTCCCCACCGCCGCCCTGAAGAATGCGCAGGTGAAGGTGCAGGCGGCCGCCCCGGTCCCGGCGGGTCCCTGTGCTCTCCAGGACACAGATAAAAAGGGGCGGGAAGTTGATCAGACAGCGAAATGCAGAGGACCTGTTGATGGTATGTCCCCCAAATCCTTCCAAAACCGTACAAAAATCAGAAATGAATAATTACAGTCAATTACAGAGCACCAGTTTTAATTGATGACGGAACGAGTTTTTACTGCATACTCAACTGTATTTGCTGAAAATGTTGTTGTCAAACACAGTTCCTAAAATGAACAGGTTTCCCAAGGAGGAATTTGAGCCCTGACTGTCAGCATGACGTCAAAATGGTCCCTCATTTTGACGTCTTTCTGCACTCATCTTGATGTCATTGTGACCAATATTTGACTTATAGACGTCATAATGAGTCACAATGACGTCAGAATGAGTGCAGAAAGACGTCAAAATGAAGGACCATTTTGACGTCATGCTGACAGTCAGGGCTCAAATTCCTCCTTGGGTTGGTTCTATGCTGCGCGTATTATCAGTATTGTTAAAACTAATATTTGAATTTCGTTGACGGTTATGTGGCAGAACAAAGAATCGCGACTTGGTTACATGGGAGACAGCACCTTGGGAATTCCCTCTTATCTCATCTGCTGCAAATATTACGAAAAATGTCGTCTGTACAAGAAATACAACCACATCTAACTCATTCATTTGCTTTTCCCTAAAAAAAAAACAACAACAAAAAAACAGGAGGAATGCACAATCGTAAAAAGAACTGTGTAATAGCTTTTTTTTTTTTTTTACAGCATGTTGGAATAACCTGAACAAGGTCTTGCGGTGGCCGTGGTCTATTGTGCCCAGTGCAGCTGTGTCAGTTGCAATTCTAGTCGTCATCTACTTTACGTTGCTGTCACCACCTCAGAGCAACAGTAGTGACCCAACAGGTAGATTTGCAGTCACAATTTTAGTTTTTGAGTACAACGTCACTTGAGCATTGGGAAAGTAGTTTTCTCAATGACGCCGACTTACTTGTCCTTGATCGTGAATGATCTGGGTAGGCCACCCAAAGCGCACCGGCAAGTCCAGGAAACCAACTCCTGTCGGCTGGCTATGCTAAACTTTTTATTCCCTCAGATCCGATCATCCTCCCGAACGGAATCCAGTACGCCAGTCGCAAGGTCTGGAAGGCCGTCCCCCCGAAACGTAAGATGCCGGGGCTGACGTTGCCGAGCACGGCGGTCATCATCCACCACACGGCCACTAGCGCCTGCTACACCACGAAGGTCTGCATCGACATGGTACGTACGATGGGGTGAGTCGGACCCGAGGGTAGACGTTTGGCCGCCAGTATAAGATGCCCGTTGCTGCCCGCACCGCACCTGCAGGTGGCCGCGATGCAGCGGTACCAAATGGACGTGGAGGGGGCGCGTCGCGACTGGGCCGACATCGGCTACAACTTCCTGGTCGGCGGGGACGGCGTGGTCTACGAGGGCCGCGGGTGGGAGCACGCGGGCGGGCACTTCGAGAAGGAGGTGAGGGCCGGCGTTGCGCACGTGAGCGAGCATGGTGCGGTCAGTTAGTTCACCCGATCCACTGTCCTGGTGCCTTCCAGATCTGGAGTCCGCAGACCGTCGGCATAGCCGTGATCGGCGACTTCACCGAAACGTTGCCACCAGAGAACCAGCTGCAGCAACTACGCAAGTTCGTGGCGTGGGCCACGACGGTCGGGAAGGTCGCCAGTGACTACAAGCTGTACGGGGTGTGCCAGCTCAAGGCCACCAAGAGCCCCGGGCTGCTCCTCATGGCGCGCCTCAGGACGTGGCCGCACTGGGACAGCTTCGTGGCCAAGCCCAATGTGTCGTGCACCGAGTAACATTCGGGAAGGGGGAGGGGGGTCTGGGAAGGGAACAGGGCATACTATTTATTATTATTTTTA